CTTCACTTAGAATGACAATCTCTAGGTCCATCCATGTTGCTGCAAATGGCATTCTTTTATTCTTTTTTATGGTTGAGTAGTAGTCCATTGTACAAATATACCACCGCTTCTTTATCTAGTCATCTGTCAATGGACATTTGGTTGCTTCCATGTCTTGGCTATTGTATATAGTGCTGCTATGAACGCTGGGGTACATGTATCTTTTCAAATCAGAGTTTCTTCCAGATATATATGCCCAGGAGTGGGGTTGCTGGATCATATGGTAAGTCTATTTTTAGCTTTTTGAGGAATCTCCATAATGGCTGCACCAAACTACATTCCCACCAACAGTGTGGGAGGGTTCCCTTTTCTCCATGCCCTTTGCAGCATTTATCATTTGTGGACTTTTTTAATAATGGCCATTCTGACTGGTGTGAGATGATATCTTATTATAGTTTTGATTTGCATTTCTCTGATAATTAGTGATATTGAGCATTTTTTAATATGCCTATTTGGCCATTTGTATGTCTTCATCGGCGAATTGCTTATTTAGGTCTTATTCTGCCCATTTTTGGATTGGGTTGTTTAGTTTTTTTGTTATTAAGTTATATGAGCTGTTTATATAGTATGGAAATTAACCCTTTGTCAGTCACATCATTTGCAAATATTTTCTCCCATTCTGTAGGTTGTCGTTTTATTTTACTTATGGTTTTCTTTGCTGTCCAAAAGCTTGTAAGTTTAATTAGGTCCCATTTATTATATTTGCTTTTATTTCTATTGGCCTGGGTAGACTGCCCTATAAAATTGCTAAGATTTATGCCAGCTAATGTTTTGCCTATGCTTTCTTCTGGGAGGTTTACCATGTCTTGTTTAATATTTAAGTCTTTAAGCCATTTTCAGTTTATTTTTGTGTATGATGTGTGCTAATAACTTCATTGATTTTCATGCTGCTGTCCAGTTTTCCCAACACCACTTGCTGGAGAGACTGTCTTTTCTCCATTGTACATTCTTGCCTCCTTTGTCAAAGATTAATTGACTGTAGGTCTGTGGGTTTATTCCTGGGCTCTCTCGTCTATTCCATTGGTCCATATGTCTGTTTTTATGACAATACTGTGCTGTTTTGATTACTGTGGCTCTGTGGTATCGTCTGAAGTCTGGGAGGGCTATTCCTCCAGCTTCATTCTTTTTCTTCAGTATTGCTTTGGCAATTCTAGGTCTTTTGTGATTCCATATAATTTTTAGGATTATTTTTTCTAGTTCTGTGAACAATGTCACAGGTAATTTAATAGGGATTGCATTAAATCTGTAGATTGCCTTGGGCAGTATGGCCATTTAACAATTTTGATTCTTCCAATCCAAGAGCATGGGATAGCTTTCCATTTCTTTAAGTCATCTTTAATTTCCTTTATCAGTGTTTTGTAGTTCTCCATGTGTAAGTCTTTCATCTCCTTGGTGAAAGATTTACTCCTAAGTATTTTCTTGTTTTGGATGTGATTTTAAAAGGGATTGTTTCTTTACTTTCTTTTCCTGCTATTTCATTGTTAGTGTAAAGAAATGCAGCTGATTTTTGTATTTTAATGTTGTATCCTGCTACTTTGCTGAATTCTTTTATTGGCTCTAGTAGTTTTTGTGTGGAGCCTTTAGAGTTTTCTATATAGTATCATGTCATCTGCATATAGTGACAGTTTTACCTCTTCTCTTCCAATTTTGGTCCCTTTTCTTTTACTTGCCTGATTGCTGTGGCCAGGACTTCCAAGACTATGTTGAATAGAAGTGGTGAGAGTGGGCATCCTTATCGTGTTCCAGATTTTAGTGGCAAACTTTTCAGTTTTTCACTGTTGAGTATTATGCTGGCTGTGGGTTTGTCATAAATAGCTTTTATTATATTGAGATATGTTCCCTTTATACCCACTTTGGTAAGTTTTTATCATAAATGGGTGTTGAATTTTATCAAATACTTTTTCTGCCTCTATTGAGATGACCATGTGGTTTTTGGCCTTTCTTTTGTGGATGTAGTGTGTCACACTGACTGACTTGCATATGATGAACCATCCTTGTATCCCTGGGATGAATCCAGCTTGATCACAGTGTATGATCTTTTTTATGTGCTGTTGGATTCTGTTTGCTAATATTTTCTTGAGGATTTCTGCATCTATGTTCATCATGTTATTGGCCTGTAATTTTCTTTTTTGGTAGTGTCTGTCTGGTTTTAGTATCAGGATGATCAGTCATACATGAACATACACATTCGTTCTCATTCTTTTTTACAGGTTACTACAAGATACTGAATACTGATAGTGATGTTCAGAGCTGACAGCTAGGGGATAAAAGCTAAGTGCTTTGAATGAAGTCAGTTCAGAAGCCATGGAAGTAAGGGGCAAGGGTACCAATCACAGACCTGGGGAGAGGAGTACCATGGGAGGCTTTACTAAAGAGGTATCACCCTATTGGAGAATTGATGGTTAAAAACTAGCCAAGGGGAAGGGGGAGGCACTTCAGGGAGAGGAACTAGCTCGTGTGAAGGCCCAGAGATGTGAGATATAATGCACAGAGCAGATACTCCACATTGTTAAACAGATGACTGTTGTATTAATTTATACTAAAGTGGTAATGGTCAAGATGGAATTGGCCCTTTCCCCTTCCTCAGGGAGTTTGTACTATAAAAGGTCACAAATCCTCACCCTAAGGATTCATTATTGGTAGATTTCAAGGTGGAATGGGGATATCGTTCAGGGTGAAGTTGTATTATTTTCCCCATGGTTACTGATGTAGATGACTGATCCCCAAGGGTCAAGCAGGCCCTGGTCTATACACAACAAAGGGTCCCTTGCCCTTGGGTCTTGCTAATCTGCCTCCACCCTGAGCCCCCTGAAGCCAGACCATAAGAGCCCAGTGATTCCAGAAAGTACTCAGTAGGTTCTAAAAGCTCCGATCAAGGCTTTGGGGTGAGACTACATAGACCCATATGTTGGCCCCTCTTCTTCCCAGTTCTGTGACCTTGGGAAAATTGTTGAACTTCTCTGCACCTCAGTTTCGTCATCTGTAAAATGAGGAAACTAACAGTATCTAACAAACATTTAAGGTTTTGTGAAAATCAAACACAGTTCATAACAACACTTAAAACGGGGCATAGTGATACTGTTTTAATACCATTATCATCTTTATTACTATCCTCTTTTCTCTCTGTCTCAGCCTCTTTTCAAAGTGGCTCCTTAACGCACACACTTGCAGATATGAAGCTGGGGCGGAACGTGGCGAGAACGTTTCTGGATTATTACCGGCTGAACCCTGTGGTGGAGAAAGTGGCGATCCCCATGCCAAGACTGCGGTAAGTGCAGACCCGAGTGGTGGGGGCTGGTGCCGTGCCTCAGTGGCTTCCAGTTCAGGGGCACCTTCCCTCAGCCTTTCTCTGGCCCTGTTTCCCATCCAGCCATGCCACAGGGTGTGCATGGGGCAGAAGAGCTTAAGCACATTTCCCGATTCTAAAGTATTGTGGGGTCAGACAGTGAGGCAGTGGTCACATTTCTGGGTCTAACATGGGAACCCACAGGGATGGGAGTTGCTGGGAAGCTGTCCCAAGCTAGTCTGGGTGTTTCCATATGGTCTCCTCTGACAGATGATCCTCTAGGATTCCTCTGTCATCCAGGCTTAGAAGGTCTCTGATCCTTCTATTTCCTCAACTGTAAAGTGGGGACAATGATGCCCACGTAGACTTTAGAGACATGCAGTGGAGCACCCTGCACAGTGCCAGGCAGTGTGTACCCTCAGCACATGACTTCTTCCCTCATGATGCAAGGCTCAGGGCTGGGAGGACATACCCCTGAGAAATTTCACCTCAGATCCTCTGCTGGGGCCAATTTCTTGGATCAGTGAAGAGAGAAGGTCAGGAGATGAGTGTCCTTCCTGAGGGCTGGACCAGAGCTCAGTGCTGGGTGTTCCCAGGAAGCATTTGGGCAGTGACACCCAGTGGCATCTGGAATGTGCTGCCCCTGCCCTACCCAGTGGTCCACCCTCTTTGATGGACATGACAATATCCAACTTAATGCTCCTGCCAGACCAGTCTTCCCACTGACCTTGCCCGAGTGCTCTGCTGCCTCAAGGCCTTTGTACTGATGCACTTTCCCCCATCCTGTTATTAACAAAAACAATGTTAATCACTTATTTACTAAGTGAAGTACTTTTTGCTCATAGTCTTATTTATTCCTCAGAGATAATTTGTTCCTGACATTACAAATGAGGAAAAGGAAGCTCAGAAAGGTGCAGAGTTGCCTGAGATCAAAGATATTTTTTGTCAGAGGCAGTATTTGACCCTAGGCATTTATGATTCCAAAGCTGGATTGAAGTCTAGCTAAGCTCCACCTCGAGTGGGAAGCCTTTCTTTCTATCAGTGTGGGTTCAAATTCTGTCTCAGGCTCATTCTAGCTGTGGGATCTTTGGCAACTTTCTTAGCTTCATGAACCCTTTCTCTAAACAAGTACCTCTAAGGATGGTTTTAAAGATTACATACAAGCTTGGCATAGTGCCTGGCAGCCAGTGGGTACTCAGTACACGCTTCCATCTCCTCTGGTTTTTGGGCTGCAGTCCAGATTTCCAGGCAGCTCATCATGGCCTAGGGCGAGTCCCTGGACTTCTCTGGTTGGACCGGATGCTCCCTCAGGTCCCACCTCTCTGAGCCCCAGGCTCCACGTGGAGTCTGCATGACACTGTACTCTGACTTAGACTGTCTCCAGTCATTCCCCTCCACCCTGGTGGATTAGCCCTTCAGAAGGAGGGCGTCTGTTTCTTCTCTGTACTCCCAGTACCTAGGCTGTACTGAGCATGCGTGCGTGTATACCTCCCGTTCATTCTCTTAGGGAAAAAAACACTTCATGCTAGGCCCCTGAGGGGAGGGGGTGCTTGAACGAATAAATGATTAAGGCATGACCCTGACCTTGAGGAGCTCACCCCCCTAGAGAAAGGTGCTCAGTTCATTCTTAGAAGTCATTCTTGATTGGTTAAAGTTCTAAAAAATTTAAAGCTTTATAAAACTCAAAAGAATTCTTAGAATCTCATTTACAAGTTAATGTGGGGATTATCTCTTTCAGGTCCTCTGCAGCCTGAATAAAATTATCCTGATCCTTTACCACTTTGTTCTTGCATGTTGCACAGTCAGTGAAATGGTACTGACGCTCAGGGAGGGTAGCAACCTTCCTGATGCAGACAGGACTGGTCACTCCCAGGGCTAGAGCCAGGCCCCAAGAGCCCCAGCCTGGTGTTCTCAGCAAGTTAGTGAAGAGTTCTTCAAGATGGGGGAGGTGGGACCCCAAAAGAGAGTTCAGGCTCTGATTTCAGCGGCTCACGGGACCTCACTGCCCTGAGCCTTGGAGCCCTCATTAGAAAGGAGCCCATTCCCCAAAGTTCACAGCCTTGAGGACTTGGGGTAAATGTGCCACCCTTCAGCTAAGGAAAACAAACACCCTCTCCATCTATCAATATCACTTAGCTCTAATTGGTCAACAACTCTTGACAAAACGAATCCCAGGAAGACACAAGGCTCAGGTTTGGGACTTGAATACTTCTCCACTTTTGTATTATTTTCCACCCAAGCATAACGTAAGTGAAAGAGCAGTTCTAGTTTTAAAGGAAAATTACAGCAGTTCTAGTTTTAAAGGAAAATTACATGTTTCGACTCAAAATTAATCTCTGTTTTCCCTGATCTCTGGATAATTATATCGTGTTGGTTTCCAGCTACGTGCTGGCAGAAGCCTGTCAGCGTCCCTGGGTGCCGGGCCACCCTTCAGAGAGGCTGCCTGGGGAGGGCCAGGATGTGGGCCGGAGAGCACAGGCTCAGGGATGTGGCCTTGATGATCAAAACTGAGACCCTACACTTACCTGGACCACAGTGTCACAGTCACAGGGCTCAAACTCAAAATGCACCATCAAGGTGGATAAAAATTAGACAAGGAAAATGAAAATGAGCAGGCCAGGTGAGCCTCAGCGGGAAGGCAGAGAGTGAGCATGGAGAGTGGGTGGGCCTCCGAGGGCGAGGTGGGCTCAGGCACATGATGGGTTGGGAGGACCGCTTCCACCATGCAGTTTTGATGTAAGTAGGGGTGGGGTGGGAATCATCAGCTATTTCTCACACTGGAACCCATCATGTGGCAGGCCCTACACTGGGGGCTGAAGGAACATAAACTTTATCCATCAGGAGCCCAAATTTACAGTGGGGAAAGCATGTACATATGCAGAGATAAACAGTACTGAGCACAATGTGTAAAACTGCTCAGCTACCCATCAGATTACACCCTCTCTCCAAAGCCTTCCATGGCTCCCCATTACCTTCAGGATATTTCAGCCCCTCTTCTTGCTATTCAAAGTCCTGGCCTACATTTGAAACTTCATGTACAGCCTCCTAGGACATGCCATTCTCCTGTACCTTCTCCACCCCACCTGCTTTCTACCACTTTATACCCCCAATCAGTTATTTTCATATTCACCCTTTTCTGTCTTCCTGGGATGTTCTCTCCTTTATCTCTAGATAGTGAACACCATCTTACTTTCAAAGCCCAGTCCAAATATTGCACTGTTTCTTTGTCCTTGTTCTCCACCTGAGGTAGACCTACCTCCTGTCTGCTGGATTCCCTCACTGCATGTGTGCATGCACGTGTGTGTGGTCGTCCCATGCGGTCTCGTCATGGCACCTTCACAGGGCTGGCTCCTCCACTGGATGGGTTGCTCCTTGAGGCACTGTTTTAGTCACTCCTGTAACCTCAGTGCACAGTCCAGGTCCTAGTGGGGAGTAAGTCCTAAATAAGCCCTGAATGGATGAATTACAAAATAGTAGAAGTGAAGAAGCCCCTAAGCATCACCTACTTCAACCCCTGCATGTTACAGCAAAGGAACATGAGACCAAATGAGAAATTACTCTCCCACATCATCTGGCACACACTTGGCAGCCAGCAGGAGTATCCCCAGAAGGCTTCAGGGAGGAAGCGGGGTTTGAACTTGGTGCTCAAGGACAGGTAGACTTCAAATGGATGAAACAGAAAGGGGAGAGCAGCTACTGCAGGTTGGGTGAGAGGGTTTAGGAGGCAAGAAGCAGAACATGGAAAGACACACTCCAAGGCAGTGACAGGCCAGGGCGGCTGGAGGAGTAGGGCCGGCAAAGATGGGGCCGAGGGTTCATTCTCGTCACCAAGCTGTCCTCAAGCACCTCCTCCACCCCCGGCCCAGGCCACTCGGGAACCAGAGAGAAAAGTCAGAGGCATCAGACTCACAGTCCCGTGAGCTGGGCAAAGCTGGGCAAAGAACTCCCTAGAAAGTGGTGTGCTGAGGGAGGAGGCGCAAAGTGCTGCAGAAGCCTCGAGAAGGGAGAGGCTTATTTTCTCGGGAGTCGGCCTCCCAGAGGAGGCGAGTCTGGAGAGGTAGAAGAGAAGCAGCTCTGCGGGGCCCAGACCCCAGATGCTTGCCTTCCGGCCCCCTTCTCTCTGTGCCCTCTTCGCCAGCTGCAGAGGCCCTCTGCCTCTGTATCGCCCCACAGCCATTCCGTACCTATTCATACTCCTCGCCAGCCCTGCACACGCCATCTACCTGGGGCTGCCCTACCTGTGATTACACCTGGGCTTGCACACCCTCCTTGACCCAAAGAAACATACCCATCTTATTTCCCATGCTCCCTTTGGGTGTGAGGAACCACATTCTCAGTGATATATGAATGGCACCTTGTAATTGGCAAAGCTCTTCCCTACCCCCATTTACCATGCCTACAAGGCAGGAAGGACATGGGCCCGTCTCTGTTTTAGAAATGAAGAAATGGAGGCTCAGAGAAGGGAAGAGGCTTCTTCAAGATGACACTGCCTGTGAACAACATGCCAAGCATGTGTCCCGGGCTGCTGATGGGGACTAAGGTCTAGAGGTATCTCACCCACACTAGGCAGCCCGGCCACGTTAGCTCTCCGTTGAGTGTGCAGTTTCCGGCAGTGAGATTCCTGGGGGCAGGGAAGACATGTTAGGACAGGGTGGCCCTTTTCTGTGCTGCCGTCTATTCTATCTTTACTTTATCCATGACTCATCAGCAGTGAAGGAAAATGAGTACTCCAGGGTCAAAGCAAGATGGGTTATAAGGAGTCACTTCTTGAATCTTAAACCAAGTGGCTCAAGAGATTCCCGTGTCTATGGCATTTACCATTTTTTGCTACGCACTGTACTTCTCTATTATCCCCTTTTTGCAGTTATTATTTTGTGCAACTGTCTCCTCTACTAAACTGTAAGCAGCCTGAGGACAGCATCAATGTCTGACTCACCTCTGTCACCTCCAGAGTCCATCAAACCATCCCTAGCACCTAGCACCACGCCTTTGTAAGTCACGGTCAGCAAGGGAAGACGCTAGGTGTATTGATTCGTATTATCTCCTTTAACTTCGCACCACTCTGCAAGACTAGAATATTTCACCATTAATTTGTAAATGAAGCTCGGAGAAGTTTAATAACTTGCCCAAGGTCACACCTGTCATATATAGCTGACCGGGGGATTCAGTTCAGTTCTTTCTGGCTTGTCCACTCTTTCTACTGAAATAAATCTTAGTCCAGCGTATGAATGACACATCGATGTCATGACACTAGTCAACAACATAATGAACAAACAATGCCTTGTACGAGGAAAAATGCAAAAATGGATAAAACTTGGTCCCTGGACACCTGGAGCTTCTAGTCTAGTGTGTGAGCAGAACAGACAGTGGCAGATTACTAAAGAGTAGTGTGAAGGGTGCTGCACTGAGCGCTGGGGGCTGGGATACAGAGATGAACTAGACACATCGCAGCCTTCCGAGAGCCCCCAGGCTGGTGGCGGAGACAGACTCATCACAAAATAACACAATGAGGCTATGCTGAGAAATACAAAGGGAGCCCATGATGGCTATGAAGGCAATGAGGTCCCAGACCCTGTTAAGCTATAGCTTCTTCTGTGTGTCTATCCCCAGCCTATCGTGAAATGGATAGAACGATTAGAATCTAGGTAGAAAATGTGGAAGACGTGGAGCTGCAGGACAGTTTTTCTCTAGAATCAGAATGATGCAACGTATCCGTCCATCCATCTAAGAGTCATTCATTAAGTCACACTGCCTGCTTTGAACCAGGCCCTGGGATGGGTCCCTGGGAGGCAGAGAAGAGGAAGTCAAGGCCACTGCTCCCAGGAGGTCACAGTCCAGTGGAGGAGATAGACATGCACACAAGTGAATTCAGTATAGTGTGTATATGTGCTGTCTTTCTTCTCTCTTTCTGTTATCTTCCCCTTTGCAGGAAAGAAAAACCCCCTCCCTACAAGCACCCATTCCTGCGGGGCCCGGCCAGCAACTACCCCAACGGCAAAGGGGACAAGAAGAGCTCCATGAACCATAAAGACCCTTCACACTCTTTTTAAGGACATGGAGTCCAGGGAGGTCTTGTGGTGACAGGAGCATGCATTTTCTGCTGAGGCATGAAATTAATCACCCTTCTCTAGTCTCCAAGATAAGGGTTGTGAGATAATGAATAAGCTAGTGAAAAGGAAGGGGAAAAAATGAGAAATCTCACCATTGATTTTCCCTTTTACCAATGGAAAATCGATCGTGAGCCTTCAGCTTAAGGAACAAAACAGAAGACTTAAACCAGACGAGTACAGATACTATTCTCCTGAACACAGACATCCTCACAGGCAAAGAAAAGCCACATCCTTTTTGAGAGGTTGACACTTCTCAGGTCAGTGCTTTCCAGCCCCTCTACTGCTTTAAGTTGTACAGTTACTACAGATGGTTACCTTTTAGAATAGGCGAGTTGTTTATAGTTTTAGAAATGCAGTTTCCGCATTTGCTGATCCAAACATCAGCAACACAGATAACCCAAAGACAAATGCACTGTTGGGAACAACGGGACAGGATTTTTGAGATCATGGTGGTCTTAGACAGACAGTCGCTTTATCTATGAGCTGCATGCTTCCTGACTCTCCAAACCCCAGCATGCAACCTCAGAAAACTGCTCTGAGAGTTCTTTTCCAACAACCTGGGTAGTTTAATTTAAAACTTTAGCTCTTAAAGCAAAAAGTGCTGGCTGCACATTCCAAAAGCTCTCTCATAGTTAAGATCTCTAGATCCTGGTGTCTGAGATCAAACCTGACCACCAAAGAGGTGGGCATGGAAAATCTGCAATTGGAGATGGGGTGGGGGTTGGGGGAGGCTGCCTGCCAGGCACAGAAGATGCAAAAGACACAGGGATGCACTCCAAGGCAGGTGGGGATGATCAAATAAAACAGCGGCAGTGGCAATTCCCAAAGTGGGGCAAGCTCGATATTGTGCATTTTTCTACAGAGTAAAGTGCCTCTGCATGATGAATGGGTCCGAGGGAGTCAGCTCCCCTCCTGTCTGTGAAGCAGCAGGCTGAGTCACCATGACAGCCTGCTAATTAAAATGACCTCCCGGAAATGAGGATTAGGAACTAGGGAGAGGGAGGGAGACTCAAGGGAGATAGGGCCTTGAGCACAAAGCTTCGGTTTAGCATCCTTTTGCTTTGGGTTGAAGATTTTCAAAGTCAGTTGCAAAAATTGAGAGCAAAGCTAATTTTCCCATTGCTGATTGGTTTTCAGAAATGATAACAAAGAACCATAAGTTGGCTACAAACGTTGTGTTGTCAATACAGCTTCTCCCCTGGGCTCTTGTTGCCCAGAGGAACACAAATAAAGAGCTTCATGCAGCTTCTCTGTTCCTCTGAGCGTTCTTGGCGCCTTTCCCTCTAGGTCTCTCGCTCCCTCAAGAACCAGCCAGTCGACCCAAATTTGGTGTAACCCTCACTTTGCTGTCAGGAACTTTGTCATCAAGATAAGGATGAATAGCCAACACTTGACTATCCCTCAGTTCCTGTAGCAGAGACCTGGGGAGTTTATTTGACTGCAGCCTGCTCAGCATGAGCCAGCATCATGGTAGGCCTTTCCAAAATGATAGCATCTCTGAAGACAGCATAAACAGAGGCAGGTCACATAAAATCAGAGTGATGAGAGTCCAGATCTGCTTTTCCCTGGTCACACTGCTTCCCTAATGTGACCATTTTTAGACCCTACTTTCTTTTTGGCGTTAAGATGGATTGTTTTACAGATCTATACTGCATAAATAATGGCATGGCACATTTACATTCTATTGGAAGTAAACTGTTATCTATTTTAGTCAAATCCTCACTGATGTAAAAACATCATCTATTTTCATCAACTTTTTATCAACGGAATAGCCTGTTACAGATCCCACTTTCTAAAACCTGCATTGATTAACTGGGTCACAGACCTTACAGGCAGCAGGCATGCTAGCGCTTTAAGAGCAAAAATTTAGAGCCAGGCAACTCTGGGTTCTAATTCTGCATTCAGACCCTGGTTCTGTCTCTTAATATCTGTGTGATCTTGGGTAAGTTGTTTAAGCTCTCTGAATCTTAATTTCCTGTAAGACAGTGAGAGCAATGTCTACCTCATTACAATATTTATGTAGGTTTAATGAACTTAGGTGTGGGAAATGTCAGCAAAGGTGCTCAATAAATGATAGCTGTTACGTGGAATGGGACCAGGACAGTGAAGTGTCTGCAAATCATTTCCTGTTAGAAACAGATGAGGAGACTAGAGCTGTTTATCCCTGAAGTGAAAAATGAAAGGGAGTAGGGGCAGGAAAGCAGGATCACAATCTTTGAAATGTTGAGAAACATCTTGAACACTCTTTCAGTCCAAAGAAGCAAACTTGATCTGTGTTGCCAAAGGTAAGAGCCAAATCAAGGGAGGTGGTCTCAGTAAGGCAAATTTCAGCTCAAAAAGGAGGAAAACCTTCTAGTGAATAAGAGACATCAATCATTAGATGGGCTTCCTTGAGAGACACTGAGTTTCTCGTCACTAGAGGTATGCAAGCGGAGTCTGAATGAACATCTGTCATGGAGAAACTAGGGGGTTTTCTTCTCTAAGGGGTTGCTGGTAACACCTCCTAGTCCATAATTCTGGAGAGAAATGACATGAAACAGACGGTTATATTCCTGATGTCAGACAACAGAGTGTACAGTATAAAATGTATCATTTAACACTAAGCAAGTGACATGTCTCTGAATTAGAGAGGATGGACCCTACTAACATTTAGCAATCCTTAAGAGGGAAAAAGACATGGCTATAAAGCAGATGTGTTTGTAGGATGTTTGCAAAATGACTGCTTCTCCACATTGGGAGGCTAAGGCTAAGGGACCAGGGGCTGGCAGTGGACCGCCCTGTGGCCTTGGCCTGCTCAGCAACTCCCTAGCTTTCTTGGACCAGGTTATACCTATGGTCTCAGGTTAGAGGGGAAGGGTTTCAGCACTGAGATGGAGGACAGCACCAACCTGGCCAATGAAGGAGCCTGAACCTACCAGCCCACCAAGCCCAGCAGGGGGCGCTCTAGCCTCTCTTCTGGTCTGCTCACTTCCTTCTCAGGGTAGAGCCACCAAACAACTATACCGAGACAACTATACAAAAAGGAAAGGAGGAGAGCGGAGGGACATGCTGAGCTTCTACCTGGCTCCATAAACAGTGCCATTTTGTTCTGCACTAGTCCAGAGGCTCAGAGACAGGACTGAAAAGTCTATCTACCCTCAAAAGCTATGGCAGACAAGCTAGAGGCCACCCAGACTCTTTGTACTAAGGCCCACCTGCCCCTGGGTCACCTGCCTCTGATGATGGTGGTGGTGCAGCAGCAGCTGGTATAGCAGGTGGCCTTCGGCCAAGAGCTTTCCCTGTTGCCTGTGAGTGAGGGAGGACCACAGGATGAGCTTGCGTCCTCTCGCTGTAATTCAATGACACACCTGAGACTTGCCTAAGAGGACCGACTCATTTTCCTAAGTAGTAAGTGCAGTGCCAAGCATGGAAGTCTCAGGTGATTAACATTTGTGAAGCATCAATGCATCCACTACCCAGTATTTATTGAACATTTGCTCTGTGCCAGGCATTGTGCCAGATGCCTTTGTATCCATTGCCTTATTTGATACTCCCAACAGCCCCTTGAGGTAAGTATCATTTTCTCATTTCCCAAGTGAGAAAATTAAGATTCCTAAAGGTAAAATCCTTTGTTTGCATTCATATGGCTAGAGAGAACGTGGATTCAAATCCAGCTTCCCACTACTCCACACAGGACCACCTTCTCCATTTGTTTCCAGGTAAAAAATCAGGTCAAAACAGGAAAGCAGGTGAAAGCAGAATAACAAGTAAACCAAAACATCACTTAGAGGTAGTGGGGGGTGGTGGGAGAGAGGAAGGAGCATCTAAGTTTCCAGGCTGGGTGTCAGTGTAAGGATTTCAGGAGCTGAAACCCTGCCTTATTCCCAACTCTCATTCCCACACACCTGTCTGAGTTCTTGCTGGGCCTTCCAACAGGGTAGGATTTGGGCAAGGGGCTCATTTACTGCTTGAAATGCAGAGGCTTCTAGATCTTCCAGGATCCCTGGAAGCTCAGCAATGTAGTCATTACAGGCCCCATCCTGGAACCCTCTCGGTTACTGACCCCAGGCCGCTGAGCTAATTATAGCTTTGTATCACTCCCTCCTTCTGGAGTGTGTAAGCAGAGCCCACTGTGTCCCTCAAGTGTTGTTCAGAAATTTCCTGAGTCCTGCCTCTTTTAAGAGCACCAAGATTAGCGATCCTTTCCCTGTGGCTCAGCTCAGCCAATGGGGCACCAGGGCAGACAGAAAAGGGGAGACATTATAACCTAATAAGGACAGCCTAGGCTTAAAAAGTCAGATAAACTAAAATGTGAATCCTAGCTCTTCTGCCAACTAGCTGTATGGCTTTGGGCAAAAAATTAACCTCTCTCAGCCTCAGGATCCACATCTGTAAAATGGGAATGAAAATATCTATCTCCTATAGTTATTGTGAAGATTAAACGTAATAATACAGGGCCTCTAGTTAACACTGTATTGTGCACTTTATATTTGTTAAGAGGGTAGATCTCACATTAAGTATTCTTATAACAACAACAACAACAAAACAAACACATAGACTAACAAAAAGAGATACAAGGGACATTTTTGGAGGTGGTGATATGTCTATTACCTTGACTGTGATGGTGGTATCATGGGTGTTTGCCTATGTCCAAACTTACCAACTTGTAAACATTAAATATGTACAGTTCTTTGTATATCAATTAAATACGTCAGTAAAGCTGTTTTCAAGATATAATAACATCTATAAAACACCAGGTAGAGTAGAACTCTTTCCCTAACCGCTCACCACTCACTTGCTTGCTAGGATTGGAAACCCCTTTCCTTGAAGCCAAAGCTTTTCTTACCCCTAAATGAAGTGCAGACAGAAGTACAAACCCTCCCTGAGGACAGAAATGAGAGAACTGTCTAGAAAAATGACAGTCACACTGAGGGATCCATGTGTTTGTAAGCTGAGGCTCTGAACAGGTGGGAAGATGGTGCTGGACACAATGTTCTCCCAGCCTGAACTGAGGCAGAGCTGATAAGAACAAAGAGAGGGGGATATAGATTCTACAAGATACCGTGTTTTACTGAAATAACAAGAAAAAAATCTTAGCAGGATTTATAAGAGGCTGTGTTGTCTTTGACTGGCATACAATGTCTCAAGGATCATCTCTGAAGTTATCATGCCAATACGCTCTGCCAGCTGAAGCTCAGGACTTCCCTGAAGCCCTTCACCTCTTTTAACTCTACCTACTCTCACCAAACTACAGTGCATGCTGGGCAGGGCTCATTTCCCCCATTTTGCAGAAAGAAGAAACTGGTATCAGTGTGATTAAGTTCCTTTCCCATAGTCCACAGCTGGTAAGTAACTAGGACAGGACCTGGGCACACACTCGACTCTGCCACACCCCACTGCCTCTCTGTTCAACCCCAAACCTCAACACTAAGCCTGACCAATTCAGAGAGTCATTCCTATGACATCTATCCTAACTCCTTAATGCTTAAAATTCCCTTGTTCCCCAAAGACCTCAGGTTTATTTTTGTCTGACCCCATGTCAGTCTGAAATCCAAATCTGCTTCTCTCCCTGACACCAGCTGTCCTGGTTAATGTCTTCTTTTCCCACCTAGCAGCCCAGGCTGGAGAACTCACCATTGTCTTAACTCCGTTCCCTTCCACTACCCACATGGACAGCCAGTCACCAAGGCCTATTGCTTCTGCCTCTGCGATGTGTCTGCCTTCAAGCAGCATAATGGAGTGTGACTCTAGAGTCAGATGGTCCTGAGTTTTAATGCCAGCTCCACGACTTGCTATTTCTGTCTTGTGAACCACTTAAAGCAGTTTACTTTCCTCATCTTCAAAATGGGGAAATAATACTTATTGGCAGGACCATGGTGCATTTTCCCTCCTCTACCTTTTCCATGCCCTCCCTCCTCTTCACTCCTACCATCATGTCCTGCCTGGGTTGCTGCAGCAGCCCCTCACTGACCTCCCCACCTCCACGTGGTCTCCTGCTAATCAATTCTCTCGCTCCAAAGGAGCTTCCACCATCTCTATAAAACAGGACCCCATGCTTATGGCACCTCTTCTGTATCAACTGTCCAAGCCAGGAGCTTGGATATCATCCCACTTTTGTGTCTTTCACACCTCCCTTCCGATCAGTTGCCACATCCTGCTGGTTCTGCCTGCTGAGTATCTCTCGTATCCACCTGTAACTCCACTCTTCTTAACTTCAGAAAATCTTTCTCATCACTCAAGACTTAGCTCAGATATCCCAACTCCAAGACACCCTCCCCAGTCTAGAG